ACCAATCTACCATATACACTCTGTTACGACAGCGCCGGTTGCGCTGGATAGGCCACGTACGCCTTATGAAGGATGGCCGAATCCCAAAAGACATCCTCTACGGAGAGCTTGCCGAAGGACAGAAAGACATCTGCCGTCCGCAGCTGAGATACAAGGATATTTGCAAAAGAGACATGAAGGTGCTCAACATCAACACCGAAACTTGGGAGGACCTCACTGCCGATCGCGCCGACTGGAGAAACACTCTCCGTAAACAGCTGAAGGTCGGTGAAGAGGAATTGACGGCGGCGGCAGAAGAGAAGCGAGCGCATCAAAAGGAACAGGCAGCCAACAGACCAGCGTCAACGCACATATGTGACCTCTGCAACCTGGACTGTCACTCTCGTGTCGATCTCCTTAGTCACAAGAGACGCTGCTCTAGACGAGCGATCAACATGAGCTAACAATGGACGGATGCTCATTCATGGTCAAACCTGGCCGAAGGAGGCCTACTACTACATTTCTACATATATAGGTATGTATATTTTCGTGTCTGTACATTTCTATGCATGAATCATATCATGCATACAACTTTATCCAAAGACACATGTAGACATTGTTGAGCAGTTAAGGTCGTTATTAGTAGTTACGTTACTAACGACATTACGTTTTTAAGGTAACACAATACTTTTTCAAATTTAGTAAAGTTTTCGGTAGCGTCGTTAAATTTTTTCAAACCTGCGAGTTATTTGTTACTCATTACTTTTTCAATTCAGTAATATTATACCCTACTAATGTACTTAGAAATATAAAATAACTAATAACAATTTGTAGTTTAAAACAATAATAATAATAATTAATAAAGTAATAAGAACAACCATAAATATAATAAATAATATACTTTTTAAATAGCAGTAATATTGGAACAACAGCACAGGAAACATGTTTTCTCCTGTTGAACTTTGTTTTTAGTTGAGTTGTGAATTTGTAGACTTGTATCACGGGCCACCACACCAGTCAATGATGCCTTTTGGTATGTATTTTCTGTCAGTTGTCTGTAAGCTATCAGAGTGGGAGTGTCAAGTTTTTATGGGACCGGATTCTTTACAGTAGATGTCTGTGACTTGATGGCGATAAATTTGAACAATAAATGGACAGCATACAATCCATATATTTTAAAATAATATATTTAAAATAAGTCAAACGTAAAAATTCTTTGCACTGTTGGTTATCACAGTTGTATCCAGAACTTTAAATAATTGCCTCTTTTCGTCAAAGTTGGGGTTCGATTAATTTAGAACATTCTTTGACGAGACAAATTATTCTCCTCTACTCTGTAATCACAATACAATTATTGATAAGTTCACTTACTTTACACCGTCGGTTACTGCAATTGTATACAGAGCTTTAAGTAATTATCTTTTAAGTCAAAAGTCCACACAGACTGGTTTAATTACTTTAGAACCCAACTGACAAAATGAATTACACAGGCCTGCGAATTTAAACTTCATAAAAGTTGTTTTGGTTTTAATAATGGCTTTTCCATAATTCAGCTATGCAGCTTTCGAAAATAATATTCTTCTTTTTTCTATCACGTAAGGATTTTTTACAAATCGGGAAGAAAAAAACTCTTATTTAGATCAAATTATTATTTCGTTTACCACAATGAACATTTTTTATTGTTGTGTTCTGGTTCTAGAACGATCGATAAGACTCTCACGTCACGATTTGTCTAGAGATATCTATAGTCAGTGGTTGTCAACATTTTAAGCATAACAAAATGTGACCCGATTTCAATGAAAATGATTCGCTTATGTAAAAGTACACATGACGTTGTGAAAAATCTGTAGTGATGGAGAAAATGGATATCATTTTCGGATTCAGCGTACAGGAATTACTGCAGAACATGTAAACATTTCAAGACAATAAAACCATCATAGGCCTGTGTTATTCTTCTCTATCTCTGTTATTACAATACAAAGTGTGAAACTCACCTTAGAAATCGCCCGTTATGGCAAAACTCATACTCTGGCCAACTTCACTTTTTCTCCCACTTTCATTAACTTAATTTGCACTCTGTATCTGCATGTATTTATTACACGTGACAGAAAAATTTAGAAATATTTAGCTCTCTAGTGACAACAATATTCACGTAAGGAGAAAAACTTAGAAGCTTCGACTAAGATGACGTCAACAATATTACTAAAGCCTAGTACAACAATTAAAGTGTATACACAATACGACTTG